TGATCCAAAGCTTGTTCATGTCAACATCAACGTCACACCATAAAAAGTCAGTTAAATTTGATGATTTTGGTCCATCACAGGAAAATACTGTGCTTCATTTTTAATGTTGAAGGCCAGCATATGAAAAACGAACTCTGTCTTGCACTGCTTACAATCACCCTGTTGGTATTAAGTGATTTAATGACCATTTTTTCTTTGTTTTTTTGGTCTTTCCCGATACAATAAACATTAAAAGAGTGACAGTTTAAGTTTAGCAGTTCTGTATTTATTTTCATTTGTTACATAAAGCTCTTGTTCATGATCCACATTACTCAGTGTGTTTGCTTTAATCTTGTCACTTTGCCAACGTCAGCTACTGTGTTAAACACAGTGACTGTACATGTATGACCTGTAGTCCCTTCAACCCACGTGAACCATAATTTCCTGTTTGTGGGAGATGCTATCCTGCATTTTAGGCAGAGTCTGCACAATAGTGGTTCGGAGTAAAGTTGCTGGATCAAACTCCTGACCACACACCCACTCAGAGTATCCTGCCTCCACCATGGCACGCACAAGCGCTGGACGCAGTACTAAATGTTTCAGGTTTCAGAGTGCAGATGGGATCTGATCAATTATAATCACGAATGCCATCATAAGACAGTTTTTATTCTTTCAGCTGCAGGTCCAATGATGTTTGATGGTCTGAGAACAAGTAAAGAATGAAAACAAAACCAGTTTAAATGACTTAGTCTGTGGGTAACTGAAATAAAGCCACAAATACTGATTTTGATGTATTTATTATTTAATGCTTATAGAAAAGGTTGTACAATAGTTTGAAGATTAAAAAAAAAACATCTAATCATTCAACACAAAGACTTCCGACCCTCCTGCTATCAGGACACGGAGATCTGAGGAGTCTTCCAGGAATGGTGATATTCTGGAGACTTGTTTGGTCAGTGACTTCACGCTTGCTGATCTCTAAAATTGAACATAATCTCCTTCAGAACAGCTTAAATTCACAGCACAATTTATTGTGGCAATCTAACCAAGTAAGAAGTGACCCACCTTCACCTTCTTAATGACTAGTACTGTTTGTGTTGTTACTGGAAGTCAGTAACCTGCTGGCCTGGCCGTGCTGAACACCTGTTGGGACTACTTTAACTGGTTTCTGTCTAAAAAGCCCAGTGCCCTCACTGGGACATAAGCAAGGGCAAACATAGATGCATAAAAATGTTTTTTTAAAGAAAAAATAAAACACAAAGCAGGCGCTGCAGCGCTGTAGAAGGTGCTGTAAAGCTTTATTTCATATCAGTAACAACAGCAGTAAATATAATGTAATTGTTAACATCACTGAGTTACAAAGAAATTCTGATTCTTACTGTTTTAGAATTTGTGTTTTAATAATATTTTAATAATATTCTAATATTAAGTAATGATAGTAATGATCTAACAATATACCCAGTGTTTCTAAATCCAAATCCAAATTTTATTTGTCACACACACACAACCATACACAGTATGACATGGGGGGGAAATGCTTGTAGCTGTACAATGCCCGACCATTAAATGACAGAAAAAAGTTTTACAGTATTTACAATTTACAGGTTACTACAAATTTTACAAATTAACTTAGAAATTTACAGTAAAAAATGT